AGACCCTCTCAGCCATAGTAACGCTCATAGGGTCTATGTCCCCCAGGGTTCTGCCGGAACGTACCCTGGGTACGGTCCGGTATACCAGAACGTACCCTGGTCACTATGTGATATGGTTAGGGTTAGGGTTAGGGTTAGGGTTAGGGTTAGGGTTGGGGTTAGGTCTAGGGAGAGGCGTAGGCGACTCCCTAGACTCGTTAGTGGAGTAGGCGAGGTACGGTCCGGCATATTAGATAGTACCAGGGTACGTTCCGGCAGTACCCCGGGGGACATAGACCCTCTCAGCGTAACAGCGTTACAACAGTAAATATATGCTTTCAAGCGCAGGTTACCGGTACCGTTTAGTGAGTATAAACATATGTCATTGTCATTAATCTAAACAATTCAACTAACTTTGGAAGTCTGTAACCTCAATCATGTCTGTGTGAGCACTTCGAAACCAGTTAAATGGAATATGGTATTAACGTTTTAACTTGTGATCACTGAACGATATTCGATTACAAAACAAACGCAAAACATGATACAGGCACGTATGTTTTACTGTTTCGTGGTGGTCGCCATACTTCAATAGGGTGCCCTCTATTGGGGTTAAAGTCAACTACAGCGTACCAGCAACCAAGCAACATGATCATCAACGTAATCCACAAGCGTTTCTACCTTTTATTTGTAGCATACGAGTATGCAGTAGATATATTGACATATTTACATGCGACAGTTAATGATATTATTGCAGTTGTCTTTGTTAAACAACTAATAAAATTACGCGAAAACTGTCAAGTGTCAAATACATTAAAAAAAATCTGTGACAAATACAAGTACAAAAAAATCATATTTTTATGCATATAATACTCAGTCTATTTATTCATACAGAAACAAACGAGTCGAATGCGAAAGTCGAGTGCGAACATCCTAGAACAGGTAATTCGCTCACAGAAATGTTGCAATGATTTCAACTGCTTCTGCCAAAGTGCTTCGCTGCAGTTGCCAAAGAATCTAACGTTGATCTAAAGTCCAAACGTCTGTTTTCAGCTGAAGAACAACAGTAACTAACACTTAAAAGACCTACAGAAATCTACGGCGGTGTAGTGGCAACATTACAGACATCGGTTGAATCAAATGCGCCACAGTGAATAATTTAAAACATGTATTTGGGAATAACTAGTGATAAATTCGCGCACGCAGATGCTTCGAGCAAGTATCCAGCTTGACTTGAGGCTCGTTCTACTGCAGTGTTGATCTGTCTATTTGATCAACTTTGTCTCTTTCCGTCTTCGATATAGTCCCTTGGACTTTAAAGACTAATATTCACGAGGTTACGATATTAGTATCCATCAGACAACATTACTCCTGACTGCCATACATCATGCTGATAACGAGCTCTACACCTCAGACGACTCCCTTCAAACACTGCTAGGGTGTGACGTGGTACGTAGGACTGTCGATTCACACGCACCAGGGGCGTGTACAGGATTTGTACCAGGGGGGGGGGTCCAACCGTAACCCAAACTTGGGAGCACGCGAAGGGGGGTCTGGCGAAAATTTTGAAATTAGACCCCCTCAGATGCGTTTTCTGCGCGAGCAGGGGGGTCCGGACCCCCTGGACCCCCCCCCTGTACACGCCCCTGCGCACCCTAGTGGCGCATTGATACATAAGGTTTGCATGCCAAGCAATAGAATGCACATCAGTAGGACATACAGACGAGTCATTACCTTGTTGGATGAACACTTGCTACAAGGCTGCATGCACACCTCACTAAATCCAGTGTCGCGGTCACGCAAGCATACACATTCGAGCGCTCGGCTGACCGATCGAGCTACATGTACAGGCTACCCGACTAAATGACACATCGTCTACAAAATATTACTAATCCGTCACCTTCTTTAGGATAAACGTCCTTTGTGGTGCCTGATGGAGGGACTGACGGGGGAGGGAGACTATACCAGGTGCCACGTTACGGTACCAGTACGTATCAACAAACATATATGTAATTTAATAAACATAAAGGAATCATTGGTGGGTGATGTACATGTATCACAGAGACATTGATCTATATATTTACAGGAGTGGTTCTTACATGAGAAGAACCGTGCTTTCAGTTGCATGGCCATGATGCTGGTCGTTGAAATGCCACCACGCGTGGAACCTGACACAAGCAGGCGTTCAACTGTCCAAATGCCAAGGGAAGTGGACACAAACACATCTGATAGTTAGTGCAGCTATGGAAACGGACACAAACACACGTCTGATTGTCCAAGTGCAGCTATGGAAACGGACACAAACACATATCTGATAGTTAGTGCAGCTACAGAAACGGACGAAAACGCATGTTTGATAACAGTCGGTAAGGAATGAAACACGGCTTTCGTTTTTACCACAATGCAACAGGTCGTTTTATGGGTGTAAACATTCGACGGTTGAATTTTGAAACGTGAACCGACTGAACACGTGAGTAACTAAAGAGCAATGAGATGAAGCTACGGGCTAGCCATGGCTAGCCATCACAGGTCTGTCTACACATCACAGACAGCCAACATCATGTATACGGAAATCTGACAAGAGATAACTTGACTTTCTTGCACATACGCCGCACGCACGTACGCATGCACACACGCACGCACGTACGCACGCACGCACGCACGCACGCACGCACGCACGCACACACACACACACACACACACACAC